CCGAATTCAAAAGGTTAAAAAATATAATATAAAAAAGACTCCCAGAAAGATTTCTGCATTCGTGCTTATTTATATCTTTTGCTAAATATGGTAAAACAAAACGGCACATATTTATTAGCTGTACAAATGAATAATCCAAATTTTTCAACTGAATTTAAAATTTATTTTAAAAGGAAATAAAATAAATTTGTGAATCAAAATATTCGCCGTTATTTTCTATAACTTTAAGCCATCTTTCAGGCAGCTGATGAACTCCATGTCTGAAAAATGTTGCGTCTTTGGACACGATAAAGTCGTCAAGCCAGTTTCGAATCTCATCCACTGATTTGAAGTGCGTAGCGAACAAGGCATGTTGCATCGACCGGAACAAGTGGTAATCGGTAGGAGCGATGTCTGGTGAATACGCCGGCCGTGCTGCAAGACGTCCCAGGCCAAGATTCATTACGATATCTTTTGTCGTAGAAGTAAAGTGTGGCCTAGCGTTATCACGCAACAATTTTACAGGACGTTCTCCTTTGCCACTATACGGGCGTTTTCGTTCTAATTCTTGACTCAAACGGATTAATTAGTGTTGGTAGCGATCCGTAGTAATTGTTTCATTCGATTTTAATAGCTCATAATAAATCACGCTCTTCATATCCCACCAAATACAAAGCAGAATCTTCTTTCCGAAGTATTTTGACTTTGCGACCGATGCTGATGGTTCGCCGGGATTTACCCATAACTTTCCGCGTTTCAGACTGTCATCATAGAGTATCCACTTCCCATCGGCCGTAACAATTTTCCACAAGAAAGATTTTCTACGTTGTTTATTGAAAAGAGAAAGACACTGTCACTCGTTGATATTTGTTGGCTTCCGAGAATTCATGCAAAACCCATTTTCCTTCTTTCTGAATCTTTCCCATCTCGTGTAGGCGTTTGGAAATAGTTTGTTGCGTTACTCCTAACTGCTCTGCAAGCTTTTTTCGCGTTTGTGCTGAATTCTCAGCGAGCAGTTGCTCCAAATTGTTGCCGCATTTCCGAGGGCCTCCAGGACGTCCTTTTGTCACTCAGACTGAAATCGTCGCTTTTAAACCGTCTAAATCAAAATGCACACACATCGTACGATATAACACCTTCGCCAAAAAAGGAACAAATCAATTCGCATGCTGCTGCAGCATTTTTTCCTTTGTTAGGATTCGTAAAGAATGCAGTGTCGGATATGCATCTTATCTTGCCATTTTTTACTGTACTAAACTGAATAATTTTTGAGGTTATGTTGAGCCTTCCGCGATACTAAATGTAATTTTTAATAGCTATATATCAACATTATATAACCGTAAAAGAACGAAAGAATTTTATTATTTGAAACTTAATATCTTAGCCGCTTAAGAAAGTTTGGATTATTCACTTGTACAACAATATTATAAAGTCTATATGTCGAGATATATAAAAGACCTACGTATTAGGAAATAAAAAAATGGTAGCGTGGATTGTTAGCGCTCATTTGACACGACAGTTTCCTACGTCATCGAGACTTTCGGGGAGTTCACTCTGGCATCCCCTGGGAAAATTGGGAAATCGTCTTGGCGCGCTCTTGCGATGCTCGGTCGACACATTATTATTTTCCCGCAATAGTTTACTTAATCGCAACCGCCCAGCCACGTGGCTGTTCTTACGGGCGCAAATCTTATTACGTGAAAAATTATCGCTGTCTGTCGAAGCCCGTCGCGGGCGCCGTAAGTGCACCTCGCTATTCGACAATGCATCTGTGCGTCACGGTAGAAAGCAGATCGAACGATCAAATACTTGGGGCGCGAGGCGATGTTAAATGCAAGCGGCGCATCGCGTACGTGATATCTGTGTGCGATCGCACGCTGTGTCGCACTAAAAATTCAACGCGCACGCCATTGTCGTGATAGTGATGTTGACGGTAAGCACTGTACGTTGGACGTAGCATGAAGCGGCAGTTTCATCCCCTGTGAATTAACAATGGACCCGCAATGCACCCAAGCTACGCACGATGCATTAATGCGTAGTCGTGTTGCGAAGGAAAATAGAGGATCGATGTGAATGGATCGAAAGCAAAAGCTTTTAATGGAAATGTTTCTATAATGTATTTCCAATGCCTTCGGCTTTTGCCTCGGCGAGCGCTCATTGCAACGAAATTGAAATTTCACCGGAGCGCCCCGTAAATTTTCCATGTGGCGATTCTCTGTCGTCGCTGAATTATGCGCTAAATTATGTATCGTATCTGCGGTGCGCGGCGATGCGGCGAGGGACGCGACGAGCGCTAAACTTTCCGCGTGGCACCCTACGGATTTTTCACTATAAAAATATAATACCGATGACGGCGAATAATGACAATGATGATAGCGATGATAACAATAACAACGAGAACAACAACGACAACAACAGCAACAGCAACAACTTTATTTTACACCCGATCAAATTTAATGCATCTCTCGTGTCCACTCTCTCTCAGTCTCTCTCTCTCTCTCTCTCCCCCCTCTCTCTCTCTCTCTCTCTCTCTCTCTCTCTCCCTCCCACCTCTCTTTCTCTCCCTCTCACATGCATTAGACGGCATGCGGGACGTAATCCGCGTATAACCGGACACAACGCAGTTTGATCCGATCTAAAACAATGGATAATACCGGAATTATACATCAGACTCGCAATGCTGATATCCGCGTAAGC